ATTTGCTGATAAATTGAACATGAAAGACATGTAAATGAATAGTCAAAGAACTGTGAATAGTCAAAGAACTGTGAGGTTATTCAATAAATGGTATACCAGCAAATTTGATAAATAGTATTAGACAAAATTTTACTATTGAGGGATAAAAAAAACCTCAGTGCAACATCAAAATAAATTCCAAATTCTTTCATAAATACAAGATATATGTAAATATTTGTATATTGAAGGGAATGAAAATGACTTACTAACATACCAAAAGGGAAAAAAACTGTAACATACAACTTCTGAGAAACCATTAAAATGATTGTCAATTGAACAATCAAAACTGACCATGACAAAGTTTAATACCCTTACACTTAAAGGACAGACATATTGTGACTCCAGTTCAACCAGCGCGGGACTAAAGAAGGCCCACATTGCGTCTCAAGCTCCTCCGCCAGATAACTTGCTCCTAAACTCTGTCTTCAGAAAATTTTCAATTTGCCTCACCTTCCAAGGTGCCCAAGAAGCCAATCCCAAGAGGGGTGCTATAATTACAATTCACCTTCCCAACCCCTATCAGAAAGAGAGCCCATCATAAGCTGTTGTTCTGTCACCTCATGTATCCTAAGCTTCCAAAGATAGTAAGCTCTGGATCTGACTTCTCTCACTCCTATCCAAGCACCCTCTTGATCATGTGATCTATGATTGACAGTGTTTTCCCTGTCCTCAACTTTTACAGTCTTTTCCCTGCCTTGTACAAAGTGAAATCTGAACATCCCCTAAAGAAACAGCTTCCCCTACAGCTCCAATCAAGTGGTGGTTCTTTTCTCTTCCTGAATTTTTGGTGCCACTAAACCTTCTGGTGTTTTCAAAGCACAAAATGATTCAACTATTAGTAACACTCCTTTTGCTGTCAGCTGCCATTTTCAAGGTATTCTGTTATTCCAAGGGAATTTTAGCTCCCCTTGGAGCTGTTTACTTCCAGGCCTCTTGCTGCCATTTAGATAACTGTGCTTTCCACAGATACTATCCACATTATCACCCTGACCCCTTCCTCATTTCCGTTCCCTCCTAACTTTTCATGTACTTGGCAACCAACCACGCCCTGACACTTTCCATGTCATACTTGAGACCTTGTCATCACCAAGCTCACTTTGTTTTACACTTTTATTTTTCCATAGAAGTGGGGTGTAGGCCAGAGGTATGAGGGGTGAGAGAATTCACCAATGACACAATAGGGAATAGAACAGGTGGACCCACTAAAATATACTGCTGAGGGGAGCAGTGGGTGAGACAAGAGAGGTCTGCTGCGCCATGTGGGTCACCTCCCTAGATGGATGGAAATCAGGCAGTGGAAGTGATAATCTGAGACTTAACCCTGAGGCCAACAGGGAGGTCCCTCAATCTACCACTTTTTTTTTTTTTTTTTAAGATTTGTACATACAGAACTGGGGTACAGGCCAGAGGCTCAGGGGTGGCGAGAGGTTTCACCAGAGATAGTGGGGAACAGAACAGGCAGATCGACGAAGTACACTGCTGAGGGGAGCAGCGGGCGGGTCAGGAGAGGTCTGCCAAGCCATGTGGTCACCTCCGGGGTAGGCGGAAATCGAACTCATGCAGAAGTGGCTTTAGCTTCTCAGTGCAGTACTTTAACCCGCTGCGCCACCAGGGAGGGCCCTCAATCTACCACTTTTAAAACAGCTTACTTCTGCCATGAGTTCACTCTTGCATTCCTTGGCTCCACCTCCAATCCACTGAACTATACCAGTTTTTAAAAGGTCATCACCTTTTAAAAGTCTGTGTTCCTACGTGGCTTTCTATACATCACCGTTGTCATAAAAAACCTTAATTCCTTTCTTCTTTCTCTGATTTGCCTGACAACACCTCTACTTCCTTCTCTCAGTCCCATACCTGAGCTTCAAGCATTTAACTGGAAAACAATGAACCGTCTCTATGGTCTCAGTTAAGTTTGTGACCGTAAATAACCTACAATGGACTCAGCACTGCCTTGCAAATCTACTGCATGTCCCCATTCAATTATTTCTTGCAACTGCTAGTTCAGACCTCTCCTCCAGCTTTAATTCTTCCTCTTCTCACACCTCTCATTGTTTTGCCATTTCCCTAAGAATATCACGAGATTTTTCTCATTCTCTAATCCAACATCAGTACCCATATATTTTTCTCCCTAACGTTAAAATGGAAAACTCTTCTTGCTCTAAAGGTCACACCTTCTTCTTTTCGTGCACTAGAGCCACCCCTGGAGAAATTTGCTCCTGCCACTGTCTTCCCTTCTCTTAGATTTGTCTTTCTCCATGGAATCTCCGTGGAAGTTTCAGGTCCACACATAAACATTGTGACAGATGTCAAATTATAAAGTTCTACACCTGAAATTTACATTATAAGCCAATATTACTTCAATTAAAAAAAAAACTTTAATAAAAATACCTCAACTTCATATCCCTCACTAAACACCAGGAATGTTTCTTGCAGCTGCACTGTCAGGTTACCGGTGCTTCCCTATTGTCAAAGCCCATGGTCAGTTCTGTCCTCACTGCTACTACTACTCAGCAGACCTGACAGACAGGTGCCAAATCTAATAGAACCCTGCCCTCCTTCATAAAACTTTAGGATTCCACATTCATCTGGTTTTCTTCCTCCTGCCGCCTTTATTTCCCAGAGTTGTTGTAATTCCCACAATGACCCCATCCTAAATATGGTCCTATGATCCACACATTCATAATTCCTTAATGACTCTCTCCAGTGTCCACCTGCCTCGAGTTCTAGTGGTGCAGATCTCAATTCCTATTGAATTATTTCTACTAGATATCTACTAATAGGTGGCATTTATCTATTAGACTTATGGTTAATATATTCAAAATCAAATTATTTTATTAAATGTTTCCCAATCCTGTCTCGTCTCAGTAAAGAGTACAACCTACTTGCTCAACAAACAATGCCTGAGATTCACCTTTGACTTCTCTTTCTACCTACCTCCAAGCCGTCAATGCATCACTAGCTCTACCATTGAAAACCAACAGTATCCTCCTCCAGTCTGAGGCTTACTAGAATAGGATTATCTATTCCAATTGACTAGTTATTCCCCACACTTAAGTGATTCTTTTTAAACTCGGTCTACGTCATGTTTTCTTTCCTGAAAACTTCCCGTGGCTTTCCATTATTTTCAAGTTAGTCGAGACCTTTAGTAGGGCCCACGCCACACAAGATCTGACTTCTGCCAACCACTTGAACCCCATGTTCTTATTCTCATTCCACTGTCCATTCTGTTCAACCAGTTCTCTTCTTTGTCCTCAATCACAATAGGCATACTTGCATACTCCATACATGTCTTCAAACAGAAACCCACAAGCCAAGTTATTAATCAGCTGACAAAAATGTGACCACAGGCTCACATGAACCTATCCAGGTATTTCACTTAGGAGCAATGGCTAAGTTTTTGGTAACAGGCTGTTGAAGGTGACTTTATTGTAAACACAATACCACAAACAAGACTTTTGCTCTTCCTGAAATGTCTTCATCCACCTAGTCACAGCTTCCTAACTTCATTATAATCCCTGCTCAAATAATGCACCTCCACGAAATCTTCCAAGTCTCCTCAGCCTAAACAATCTTCCCATTTGCTTTTTCTTTCCATACCATTTAGTGCCACCAGTCAGTCTTCAGTATTTTCAGGATTTTATTTGTAAATCTAAAAACCAATACTCTTGCTGCTTTTGTTAATTTATGGACATGCAAAACAGTGAAAAAATGAGTCATCCAACCTGAACATTCCCAAGTCAAAACTGTGCTTTCATTTTAGCTTTTTATGGTATACTTAACGACTTTTTTTTTAAAAAAGATTTATTTATGCATACAGAACTGGGATACAGGCCAGAGATGCAGGACGTTGAAAGGATTCACCAGGTGCAGAACAGGCAGATCAATGAAGTACACTGCTGAAGGGAGCAGCAGGCAGGTTAGAGAGGTCTGCGGACCCATGTGGGTCACCTCCGGGGCAGGCGGGGATCGAACTCATGCTGAAGTGGCTTTGGCTTCTTATTCTTAGTGCTGTGCTTTAACCTACTGTGCCACCAGGGAGGGCCCAATGACACTTTAGTTTCCCCACTTTTCTGTGCTTTTTTATTTGACTGGCCCCCAAGTGTAGTGGCAAACTGCTATCAAGCATTCCTAAGCACAAGAAAGATGAGTGCCGCAAAAGAAAATACATGTCACATAAACTTTATTCTGGTACAATAGTGCTGTTAAATGTAAATGAAGCAATGCATACTACACATACAACATGGGTATCTTTAAAGAGAAACACATACAAAAACCAGATTATTGCTTAGCTGACAAAAAATGTTGTGATCAGAGGCTCACATGACGCTATCCATGTATTTCACTTAGGAGCAATGACTAAGATTTTGCTAAGTCTGTTGAAGGTGACTTTACAGAACAGACTACCACAAATAACAAGAATTGACTTACTCTGTCCTTTTACCACCTACCTACATTATATATTTATCTCACTTAGAAGGCAAATTCTAAAAGGCACCTTATCTGCCATATCTCTGGGGTTTACAACAGTTCTTAGTTTAACAGAAATCTATTAACCTTTGAATGAACAACAAAGGATGGACAAGCAATTTCTCAAAGATGCTCAACTGGCCAATAAAGTTAGTTACATGTTAGCTCACTGGTAATCATGGAAAGGATTTTGGTGGATTTTTTTTTTTGCCCCCACCCCCACTATGTTGATGAGTTTAAGGAAGACAAGCAGGCACTTAAAATTTGAAGGTGTATATCCTTTGACCCACCTCAAAACCTTAAGAGATTAGTGAGTGCCCTCCCTGGTGGTGCAGTGGATTGGAGCGCCAATACTGCGAAGCTGGCCGTGGCCACTTCAGTGCGAGTTAGATCCCCCACCCTGAAGGTGAACCACATGAACCTCTATGTATTTTGTCAGTCTGCCTGTTTTGCTCCCCACTGTGTCTCTGGTGAATTCTCTCACGACTCCTGCACCTCTGGCCTATACCCCAGTTAGTTCTGTATGCATAAATAAAATCTTAAAAAAAAAAGGTGACATAAAAGGAAAGATTGGTGAATCAATGGTAATCCACACGCAGTTAATATCCAACTGTTCTTACTTACCAAATTTTAAGACAGAAAAGTACCCACTAAACATAAAAGTATCACACAAATAGGTACAACAGATCTCATTTTTTGTTCTAGTTTGTATTTATAAAAATATGAAAATGTTTCTAACAGTCATTACCACACAGTATCACAATGGGTGATGCCAAACCTTCCTGTTTTTCTGTATTTCCCATTTTTCCTTACAATTAATGCATATCACTTTTATAACCAGAAAAGGAGGGGCATTGGGAGTAAATCTGACAAATTATGGAGCCCTGACACAATATTTTACCCTCAAACAGCGACATTTAGGACTAGTAAATACTGCTTCTAAGTCACTGCGGCAGCAGTACCATTTGAGGGTCCTAATTTTGAATGAAGCTTGAGAGGCAAGACGTAATTTTGGTAAATTTAGCACTTCTAACTGCTGTGGTAATCACTCTATTCAATCTCAGCTCTACAACTTACTAGCCCCTTGCTATTTGTTTAAAATTATCTTTCCCAGAGGAATGCATTAAAGTTCAGATACAAGAGAACCAAACATACAGCAAATATTACAAGTATTAGTTATTTTCTATGAAGACAAAACTTGAATAATGTCCCACTTTGTTTAAAGAAATAAATGTGTTAAAGATATTTATAACAATCTTTTTGCACATCAAGATAAAAAATTACTTTTTCCTGTTATGGTTCATCTAATCATTTATTGATCACTTAACATTCAAGTTTCAGCACAAGGTTTCCTGCTATATAAGGAGAAAAGGAGGAGGTGAGTGTATAGGGGAAGCTGACATGCTACAGCTTTCTACCGGCATAAGGTTTATGCTCTTTTGTAAGACTGAAGAACCATTAGTTTGTATAAACTAGTGTTTTTCCTAAACCAACATAACCAAAACTTAAAATGTAGAAGTATAATGTACCCAACTGTACACACTGTCTTTTCACTTGAGGTTTTGAAATCCTCACCAGCCTGTATGTACAAAAGAAAACCACCATGAACAAATTCTTGATCATTTTAACTTATACATGCTTTATGGGGAGAATCAAAGGTAAAACCTTTAGTTGCTTATATTTTTTTCATGAAATGGCCAGTTTAGAAACTACTTACATAGTAAAACCTTCTCCAAATAATAATAAATAATACACTGAGTTAACAAACATTCAACTCTCAAAAAGATATTCATAAAAATGAGGTATTTCTATTGTTTCATTTGCTAAAGAACTTAATGTTGACATAGAAAAAAAATCATCCAAAATATCAGTCTTCATTGAACTCTCCAATGAATCCGGTTGAGCTTCACATTGATTTTTCTTGGTGGGGCTATAATAGTTATGGTCCTGTTGCAGATGTGCATTTGGGGGCGTATTGGTTAATTCACTAGGAATTGATGCTGGGACCTGGTTATCCCCCATTTCTAAATACCTAAAGTCACTCTCCCCATTTTCTGAGAGCTCTGTTGAAACAATATTTGTAGGAGACAGTAATTCTGCTAAAATTTCTTCATGCGTTTCACTATTATATGGGGAAACACCTGGAACTGTACTATATCCAGACTTATTATCAGCAATATCAATTTGATATTGTAGTTCTTTTAATAAGTCTTCTATTGCTTCACAATCATTTGGAGAATCACAATTGGGCACATGTTCTGAATTTTCACTTGGAAGTGTTTCATTTTGGGAGGAAGACATAAGAGCAGCTAATTTCTTCTTTTTGGCCTTAAGTTTTTTAAGAAGTTTTAGACGAAGTTTATGAATCTGGCCCTCAAATGAGTCTCCATGGTTTGCTGAAGAAACAGCATTTTCATTTCCATAACTCTGGTTGAGGCGAACTCCATAGGAGGTGTTTTCACATTTCTTCAAAACTTCTGAATCAACATTAACGGGAGCACATAGGTTAGCGGCTGTGCTAGCTGATGAATGACTTGGCGGAGAGCTACGAACTGAAGGTTTACCTGCACGCCTATGGGCTCTCTTGAGCGTCCGGTTAGCCTTTTGGTTTGCACCTTTGGTTTTAAAACCACCAAAATTACTTGCCCCCTTAATTGAAGGCTGCAAATCAGTTATAGTATTTCGATTATGACCTGAAACACAAGAAGGCATAAAAGAAGCGCCCTTGCTTAATAAGCCTTTAACCCAACTTCCCACAAATGGTTTCTTCTGATTTGTTTTCAGAGATGGATTCTGCAAAGACTCATTTGTTAGGGCCTGAGAAGATGCTGAAGTTTCTTTTTGATTCAAATTTGGCATCTGTGATGTTATATGTTGTTCTGGTTTTAATTTCTCAGTTTCTGATGAAAAGAACTGTTTTAATGAAGTGTCCTTCCCTAGGGCCATTGTACCCTCATTTTCTACTGGCTTTATTAACTGGATAGGATCAGCAGCATGAATACTAGTCACAGGTTTAGCAATGACTGTATCTTCTGTATTCAGTTGCATTGGTTCCATGTTTGTATTTACAATCTGAGATGGAAAAGTTAAATCCACAAATTGGCATTGGGTAAGTGTTTCCTTAAATGGAGCTGACAGTGAAGAAGTCATTGGTGAATCCTGTGAACACAAAGCATTTGTTTTGACTGCCTTTTCTTCCATGGGTTTATTTTCTAACAGAAGATCATCAGCATTAACCATTAGTTCGTCAAATGTCAAAGGCAAAATATCATTGTTATCAACCAAATGTTTTGAAGCTGAAAGCAAATGATCTCCATAAGCTACAGTTTCATCCTGTGAAGGAGTATTAGGAGCAACTGAGGTATTTGTGGGGTGAGTTCCTGAGGACATTTCAGCTGAGGGAGCATCCTGCGTGGAACACAATGCTGGAGACGCTTGTCTTTCGCCACCAACAGCATGCCGATCATTAGTCTTTTTAAGTGGAAGGTAGGAAGCAGCTTTATCTGTCATTTGGGGCATTTTTCTTTCCCAAATAACAATATGTATCTCTGAAGCAGGAACTTCAAATTTTTCACGCCTTTCTGAACATGGACCTTTTAAGTCATCACATTCCAGCCAACATCCTGAACAATGGGAAAGAAGGTGTAAAAAGGTTAGATATTCAAAACCACGACATGGTGTTAACTTTCCTGTGGCCTTTGGAACCGACTGCTCTATCACTGAATAGCCACCAAAGGAAAATGAAAGCATCTTCTACCCCTGATGTTACCATTTTTCTCTACCAAATATTAAACTTCTTATTTGTAACAAAGTTACGGAATTAGCATCCAGAAATCTGAAAAATAGGTAGTTTGATTCTCCTCCCTAAAATACCCATAAAAATCAAGACAGAAGTATAAACTTTTGGTTCTTAAAATAGAGTATTACCTAAATTATCCAACAGCCCCAAAACAGGTTAAGTTATTGAATATGGATCAATGTTCAAGCTAATGAATCCTGGTATCACAAGTACCAACACTTATTTAAATTATTTTATTTCTGAACTTCTGTTTTGGTATCTCTCTAGTAGGAATGAGATGGTAGGTAACAAAGTAAAGGCTACTGCTTGCCTGTTGTACACCCACAAAAAACCTCAAAACAAAACCACTTACGTATGTAGTATATGTGGATTTACCTTTATAAAAACTCCCTAAACCATTACATTCCATGCCCATTACAACTCTGAAACACTTCTGTTTGCCTATGTCAGTAGTTCTCCAGCTTGCGTGCATCTGATTGAAATTTCAGTGTTAAACTCCAGAAACTAATGCACTGGGCTGGGTAAAGCCAGGAAACTTTTATATGCTAACCTATGATTTTATATGCTGTTTGGGTTAGAAACCATGTTTTACCTGAAGAGGATTTTTTATTTTCTGGAATACAACAGAAAATTATAACAAGTTGGTCTTACTTTTTATGTTATTGAGAACCATTTCCCCAAAAATTCTGAGGCCTGGTATAACTTAAAGGTAATACGTTTACAATTAACCCTGACACACGAGTTTCAGTTTGCAAAGGACTTTTATGACACTTTGTGTATACTTCCAAACCACCTCCAGGACAAAAATACCAAAAACAAAAAAACAATAGAAAACAGAATGGCATAGTGTTAATTTTCTAAAAGAGGAAAAACCTAAACTTTTAGTTTCTATACTTATTATCATAAAAGGAAACATTTAAATACCTACCATCAGCATCTAAAATCCATGTTATAAAATGATTATTTGCTTGATACTGAATTACAGAAGTTATCTGATAAAGGCAGTCTTCAAAACAAAATGAATAGCACTGCAAGTCATTATGTGGTAAGCCTTCTACGAAATGCAACATAAATACGGAAGATACTCTGTGGGGAGAGAAAGTCAAGACGTCAAACAAATTTAATGCCATGTGTCTGGTTATACAAAAGATGGTGTGAAGCAAGTTAAGTCACACATAATACTTCATTGGCTAACTGCACTAATGTTTCTTGAGAACCTCCAGATGTGTGCATTAATTAGAAATACTAAGAAGAATGTGACAGTAAACCCTTAGCAGAAGGGTATCATCGACAGTTGGAAGCCATCATGCAATAAGGCTCTGACACAGATCATTAAACAAAAATTGCTCTATAAGCTGCAATCCTGCTTGGGCTTAAAGGGGATTTCTTGGTGACTATTTCATAGAATCAATGGAAGAAATCCAGACCTTTTAAAATTTTGGGGGGTGTCAAGTGCCCAGATTTGATTGTTTTTGTTAGATGGGGTAGGTAGTATGTAAAGCAAAGTAACAAACTTAAGATTTACACACACAAATTCTATTAATTTGGCCTATTTATCTCAGCTAACTCAAGTAGTGAGGAACTAAAGTTTCTATTTAGAAAGTCTTAAATTGAGGTAAACATATACATCATACAGGTTAGCCAATATAGCCATAATTTCAAAAATACATTTTATCACTGCAGTAACAAACCAATACAGAAAATAGAACAAAGATGGGTTTTTAATAACTAAAAATTAACACTGCTCAGGAATTAAGAAAAATGTTGATTATCTCTTTCCCCAATATTTAAAGAGTTGCCTATCAAAATTTATTCAATTGAAATAAACTTGAATCAATGTTAAAACATAGATTCTCTAGGCTGGTTTATAACTTATATTTTATCCCTTCTTCATCCTTCTGCTAGAGGATAATCAAGTCTTCAAAATTTAAGTTCCTATAAATAAAAAGACCATAATGCTAAACTTCTACTTTGTAAAAACTATTGCCATTTTCCAGTCATTGCTTGTAAAGGGTAGACTATGAAAGAAAGTCACCAATTAACCTACATCATGCCATCAATTTTTAATTGTATTCCCATTTCCCATATAGAAGGCACTTGAATAATACTGTGTTGTCATAACATTGATTAGAAAAAAGTGTAATTGCTAACCAGGGACACTGTGCAGCATAATTGCTAACCAGGGACACTGTGCAGCATTTTGAAATTTGCACATATTCCCTAAGTCTTGGTGGGTCGTCTATGGGTATTATGGTTTCTTCTCAAGCCCCAGGGATGTGCACATTAAGTTCACTGGCATGTCTAAATTGCCCCAGCCTGAGGGAGTGGGGGTGTGGGTGTGAGTACACCCTGAAATAAAAGAACATTCTGTCCAGGGTTATGTCCTACCTGTGTACTGAGCTGCCAGGCAGGTTCTAACCACCTGAGACCTTGAACTGGAATAAGTGGGCAGAAAAATGAATGAACACAAGTATGAATACAAATCAAATTTTTTTTCGTATTAGAAGCATTCTGGGTCTTTAAGAAGTTTAGTGATGTTTTTGTGACCAGAAATATGTCACAGGAAATCAATTCTTGTTTCTACCTATCAGCCTATGGTAAAATTGGTTTCATTATATGTTATTTTACTTAAAGTCTATTTATAAGAACCTACCAATGAATGACTTTTAAGTGAGGATCACTGTATCTTTGAATCACTGGATACACAGGCTTTAGGAATTAGTACTCTTTATCAGTTCTCATGATGTCATGTCATACTGTTTCAATATTATATTGAAGCTAGTTACTAAAACATCATCTTATTAACCCCTATACTATGCTCTCTCACTAGTTTTCTTGCCTTCTTTGTGTGACTTTACACATGGAATGTTAAATAGAGCATTTCTTTTTATATGTGTATGTTTATATATATAAGTCTCAAGAGAGTCCCTGAGACTAGTGTCCCAGAAGTCCCCTACCCTTAATTCTAGCTTGCCTCATATCCAGCCTTTAAGGTGAGGCTAGAACTTTACTCCTACTTTAGCAATAGATGTTGTGCTTGGGCTTCTTTCTTCCTACCCTACAATACCTGCCATGTTAGTCAAAGATGATGCTCAGAGCTAAGGAGAGCAAATTATACTTTGCCATAACCATAAGAAAACTGGATGGCTTAAGTTAACAGAACTGGAATCAAGAGTCACAACAGAGTCAAGCTAAATTTCATTCGCATTTACCACTTGAACAGGGGACTGAACTCCTATTATAAAATTCTACCCTTAGGAAAGAAAAAATAAAAAAGAGAAAGGACAAGGGAACTGCGCTGATCTCTGCTACTCAAGTACAGCCGGTAAAACTCACACTTCTAGCTCATGAAGAGCAGTCACAGTCTTGTGCTAATGGCCTGCAGTTTTTTTTTTTTAATCTCAAATAATAATCTGTATTTTCAAAAATGAAAATTAAACAATATGTACTTCAGAAAGTGTAATAATAGAAGATTTAGGCAGAAAATAATCTACAAATGTAATTTTAAAATCTCAATACAGGTTTTTTTTTTTTTAAGGATTTATTTTATTTATTCATGCATACAAGAATTGGGATGTAGGCCACAGTTGTGGGGGATGAGAGGATTCAGAGACAGAGTGGAGAGCAAAACAGGCAGATCTATTAAAATACTCTGCTGAGAGCAGTGAGCAAGGCATATGGGTCACCTCCAGGCTGGGGATCGAACACATGCTACAGTGGCTGGTGACAGCTTGATAATAGTGCTGAGATTTTTAACTCCTGCACCACCAGAGTGGCCCAATAACAATACACTTTAAACATAACATATTTGAACTATTTCAGACTATGACAATAAATGAAAAATAGGAATAGAATCAGATGTAATTCAAATAATTAGAACTAGTTCATATTACTTTTAACAAGAAAGTACATCTTCAGAGAAATTCAGCTGCTCAACAGGTTTACAAACTACATTCTTCAGAGAGAGTTTATAGGCTTAATAAATATTAAAGATTTTCTGCCAACAAAGAAGATTTAAATTAAGAAATACTATTTTATGTAACAGTAGTCCATCCAAAATTTGGTGGGGAAAGGTGTTTACCTACTTAGGAGTCTCAAAATCATTGTATGAAAACAAATCAATCAATAAACTTTATAATCACAAAGCAAAATTATCTTATGCCTCTTCCTATCACTTCACTATCCTTTACAAATAGTTGTGCATAAAAGGAAAATCACCACTAAAATTAAAGTTCAAATAAATAACCAATTAAAAAGACAATCTAAGATAGTATATGATCAGACTACTAACGGAGATCTTGCCAGTGATAAGACCTAAATTTCAAGTGTTTGTGAGGTAAAATTAAATCAGGTTCTAAATTCTTGGTGCCCCATGTCACCATTCTTTGAATATAATTCCTTAGCAACTTAACAAAAAGCAGAATTGGAACCACAAAATTATCATTCATCTGACTTATCAATGGACACTTATTCTAATAGGATATTATCAAAGATGTGGATTACTTGATGTGAGATGTTTAGGGAATTTGCAACACTATTCGTTTTTAGAATGCCATACAACTGAATTACATATGATATCCTGACAGACCTAACTACTTTTAAGTTATCCTCAAAAACTATAGGAAAAATGCTTCTAAATTCATGAAGTGCCAATAAATCAAATTTACCAATTCAAAGCAAAATGTACAAAGGGTTTTACAAAGCCCTTGTCATTTAAAATTTAAGTTAAAACACTAGTTCCAATTTACTTTGAATATAGTTAATGTACGAATTATAAAATCTGCTTATATACTGGCCTAATAGAACTCAACATGTTTCTTACTGAAAGTTTTTTTTAACCTAATGGGTATTGCCCGGTAAGAGCATGAATCTTTAATGCTCCAAGCAAAGCAATGTATCTATTTAATTGAAAGTTATACGCTATGATGCAACCAATTAACAGATAAAATAGTAGTGTGTGAGTTTATCTTCAATGCTGGGGACAGAGTAAAAGAAAGTATATGTTGTATATACTAAGAAGACTGTAAGATGATAGACAATGCATGTCTTGCTGCCCTTCTATCTCACCTTCAAGGAAAACTTTAAAAATTGAATAGAGGTCCCATCAACACTTAGATATCAATGCATTAATACTAATCAGCCAAGACTCTGACTATGGACTTCTGGTTAATGTTATTGTTATTTTCTCTTCTTGCATCTGCCTTCCTGTTCAAAAGCTATCAAATGATAGTGAGGGAGAAAAAAGGTGATCCAAATGGCCAAGGAAAAGGAAAGGTGAAATGAGCAAGCACAAAGATGATAAATATTTAGAAGACAAAAAGCAAAATAAACAGTAACTGAGCAGAATAAAGTGAGAACATCAGTGTTATAAAGTGAGTGGACTGATGATAGCATGTATGTCCCACTGAACCACTAAAGATTCAATATTTATAGCCAACAGATGTTGAGGAATGGAGGTTAGACCTTGAGCTAAAACCTGGTATCATTAAATAAAGTGTATATAAAGAGCACTGCCATACACAGGACCAGGGAGGAACCAACAGTGACTGGTAAACAAGAGGAAGGTTGAAAGGAGCAGCAGATAAGTTTCCAGAGGAAAAAAGAGTAGGAAGGGAACTCAAAAACCTTATGGCAGGGTCATCCCGGTTGGCACAAGGGGTTAATTCTCAGCATTATGGAGCTATCTACAGCCACTGCAGCTCAAGTTCAATCCCTGGCTAGGGTGCTGACCCACATGGCACAGCAGACCCCTCCTGTCCCTCCAACTGCTCCCGTTAGCAGTGTATTTCAGCTGATCTGCCTGTTTTGCTCCCTACTCTGTCTCTGGTGAGTCCCCTCACCCCCACGCTTCTGGTCTGCACCCCAGCTCTTGTATGCATAAACAAATCTTAAAAAAAAAAAAAATCTTACGGCAATTGAGTGCTTGCAAAATTTAACAGGTCTTTTAAGAATTTGGAAAGATTTCATTGTACATAAATTAAATGAAAGTACAAGGCAACTAAGTACATCTAGGAAAAGTAAAATTATAAAAGAAATGATACAGAACCATGCATACTATTTGGTTTAAAGGAATATATGTATATTTATAATTATCTAAACAATGAGTACAGAAGAATGTAATCAACTTGGAAGGACAGGGAGACATTAAATAATGAGGGGATGCAGGTATCTGGTGTAAATCCTCAATTACTAAAAAAGGAGAAAACTACATAATAGTAGAAAAAAGCACACTTTTGAAATGTTAAACAAATATATATACCTTAAAGTTTTAAAGTAGTTGTCTGAAGGTTGGGCAGAAGGGGCACTGACTATTCTTTTTTACCTTTAAATCCTCTGGTACTACTAGATTACAGGAGCTCCTGCTTATCCACAGAAGATACACTCCAAGATTCCCAGTAGATATCAGAAACCACGCATAGTACCAGACTCTAGATACTGTTTTCCTAACACACACATACCTATGATAAAGTATAATTTATAGACACACTAAGAGATTCACAATAATGAATAACAAAATTACAACGTTCTGTAATGAAAGACACATGAGCATGGTCTCTCTCTCTCAACATCTCATTGTACATAATATTTCCTAACAGTGGTTAGGAAACTAGCCAGGACAATGGAAACTAAGAAAGCAAAACCTCAGATATAGGGAGACTACTGAAATAAGAACGTATTACTTGAATAAAAAGATTCTGAAGAGTTTCTTGGTACAGCCAAAGGCAGCATAAAGGTTGATGTTACTCCTCTACTATATCAAATTATAAAATATTTCCTAAATATAGAAATAAGAGGGACCAAAAGTGAATGTTAAAGAGCCATGTATGTATGTGAGCTTATGAACAAAAGAGAAACAAATGTCTAAAGCAGAAATAACCTGTGAGTTAAAATATAGGGGGCTTCTAATACCAGGAAAGGTAAGTCTGACCAGTCCTCCCATGAAGAGCAAATAGAAAAGCTGGTAAAATACAATAAAAACACATCTGTCCAAGGGCAGCAGGAAGCTAACAAGAAGATGAAGAATTAGCAAGCCAATGTGTGAAGATGATAGAAATTCAGACCAATAAGCCTGTGGCTCATCTTTGAATCATTTTAGTTCTTAAAATCAGATTAAGGAAATCCCAGAATCCTAGTGACCCTAGGCACTTGAGAGAGGAGGAAAATTGAAGTTTAATATCCCTAAAGGCAAAAGAAGCAAAGACACTAGGGGAGTGGGTCCATCAATCACCCTGAGTCAGCTCTTCATTCGGATTTGCCTGGCACAGCTTGCTACTAGCCAGAGTTCCTAATAGAAAGAGGCATTTTCACAATTCACAGACACATATGAACTCAAATTTCTAAAAAGTAGGCTGTAATTATCCCTTTCCAGCCCATACATACTTAAAATAAACGTAAATCCACTTTCATTTTGCTATGAAAAATAAGGCAATTTTTAACTCACTTTTCCAATACCATTTTTCTTATTTGTGATTTATTGCTGCACTTGTTACATGGACCAAAATGGGCAGCATTGAGAGGGTGCCACTCAGAGATGACATTTGTAAAGGTGACCAAACTCTTCAAACACCTATAAAAAAACATAATTCCATTTAAGTTAAATTCATCTATGTTAACTTTTAAATCAATGCCTAAAATTGAAAGCAGTTTTCCACTTGTTTATTCATACTTTGCCATTCCCTCAAATCATAACAGTAATTTGCCAACATTCCTTCCTCATCATGGTAAAACTGTGAATATTCCCCACATTATTTTTCAGCTATGAGATGAAGAAAATGTTAAAAGCAGAGCTTCCCAAGAGAAATAACAGATTTTGTGCTGGGTAGTTCTTTGTTATGGGACACTGTCCTGGGCATTGTAAAAAGTCTAGCATTACCCTGCGTCTCCAGCTGCAGCAACCAGTACCTCCAGATATTGCCAAATGTCCCAAGGGGGAACAAAGGAGCCCCTGTTCTCAGGACTTTCAATTTACTAAGAGTTTACCCCTTACTCAAAGTATTCACTTCTGTCTATCATTGTCAGACAAAAATAAAAAGGGGTATTTCCAAAAACTTAATTAGGAATGCATACAACTTACGATTTTCTTGATACTTACAAAATTAAGACACTAGAATAATTTTCCTTCTACAGGTTACACAAATTGTATAACTTGTACTTTAGTCTGAGTAACCGATAGCGACAGGCATCTAAGAAGATGATCTTTAAAAATGTACAACAGTAGTCAACTGTATTCACTTTAATTACCTATCTAAAGATACTAACTTCTATTCCAAACAATACAAAATACTGATAAACCACAAGTGAGATTAAGAACTGACTGCTAAAAACAGATTTGACTCAGCAAATAAGTGTTAATGCTCCATAGGACAACAAACATTTTTGACCATTTATTCTCCACACACAGCAGCATGCTGTGCTAAATACTTTCACACACTCCGGAGTGGCAGCTTCTATTCTAATCCCCACTATACAGATGAGAGAAATAAAACAGAGTGTGTATCAGTGGATAAATGAGAGTCTTATCATTTGAATCCAAGAAATTTCACTCCAAACACCATGTTATTAACTGCTTCTATATCTTCTAAATCAAGTAAAAGCTCTTAAAATGGCATTCTAATCAATACCACTAAAACAATGAGTTGCTGCATATTCCATCAGTTAAACGGAAGTAAATTTTAAACTATATTTAGATGCATTTAATGAAATGCCACTTCATTTTATCTTTCTATTACAACTGCTAATTTTAGAAAAAAAGATTTTAAAAAAGCGTTCCCTCAAACTTTCAAGAGCCTTTTCTAGATGCCTCCAAATTGCATTTATCACCTTGTACTCAAAGTAATTTAAAACACCCAATAAATCAAATTCATTACTAAGTCGCTGGCTCTGGATTATGTCCTGTATGTTATCTTCCTCATTAAATAGTCTGACTTTGGCCAAGATAAAGATTATTTCCAAGAGTTGCTGGCACACAGAATATATAGTCAATGAAAAGCTGTCAAACTATGATGCAGATTTTAACAAAGTTATAATTAAGTTCATTTTAATCCAGCTTATTTATATTGTTTAAAATCCAAGGTCACTAGGAAACATACATAGCAAACAAGAAAAGTCTTAAAACCTAAGTCTGAATCTTGACTATCATCACTTACTAGTTTAGTCACCTTGGAGATCTATTTATCTATTTAACCCCTTTCAAACTTGATCCCAACCCACTTTTGTCAAATACATCAGACAATGTATATAAAACAAGGACAAAGACTGGAAACAGGTGTTTTCATATTTACCTAAAACAAAATTGCTTATCTACTAGGTATGTGAAACACTAATTCTTACTCTGTTCTAATATTTTGGAGCTAACTCGTTAGAGGAAAAGTTTTCTGATTCTGTTGCTTGCATTACCTACAGTTTTCTTCTCAGATTTGACTCTATTTGGCCCCTAAATATTTAAAAATAATTCCATATTTAGACAATGAATATCCAAGTAACATTTTTCTCTTACTCTTCTATTTAATGGCTTTGAAAAACTAAGTTTTCTAATTTACTAGTTGGTGAGTTTTAAGACAGAGAAGGACTGATTCTACCATAGTAACTTGAATAAATAACAACAAAGCCAGTTCAGTAATCTTTTTAACTACCATTCAGCAATTTTTTGAGATATGGGACGTCAGGAACCTAAAAATCAGCTTTCATGATATTAAAAACTCCAGTCTCTTAATAGAGAAGTAAACAAAATAGAATTTCAAGAAATTCTGAGAGGTATTCTTACTTAGCAGGAAGCCCAGGGGGTGGAGGGGATGAAATGTGCCATTTTTCACAGTTGTCCCCACTTCCCAAAAGAGAATGTCTTAAGTACTCCTAGTAGTAATCTACCAACCATGGGTAAATTTCCCTTTGAACCTTAATGGCAGAAAGAGTTACTATAAGTCGTGGCAGGGAACCAGGAACCAGGGATAAAGCAGTGCCACAAATGAAGTCAAGTTTCATCCAAATTTTATTACTCAAAAATCACTTTCAATAGAATGAATCCATTTTTAAAACAGAAAAACTGACCTGTTTTGATACTTGTGTCCACACTGAGAACATTCAAAGTTCCAAGAAAAAGAATACATGAAGAGCTTTTCTATGTTGGGCTCTATTTTTAAGAGCAGGGGAAATGCAAATACAGGGCTTTCCATATCACCTTCAAAAAAAAAAAACCAAAAGGGAAATTACTTCTCAAAATTACCTGAAGAAAGCAAACTAACCCAAATTATAAATTGTTATCTTTTCTCAATATATTAATAGTATGAATATACTATCCACAGTATGAAGCTTCTTTCTTTCTTTTTTAAAGATTTATTTATGCATTACAGAACTGGGATACAGGCCAGAGGTGCAGGGATGTGAGAGGATTCGCTAGAGACAGAGTGGGGAGCAGAACAGGCTGACTGATGAACACTGCTGAGAGGAGCAGCAGGTGGGTCAGGAGAGGTCTGCCACGCCATGTGGATCTCCTCCAGAACAGGCAGGGATCGAACTCATGCGGAAGTGGCTTAAGCCTCTTAGTGCTGTGCTTTAACTCGCTGCACCACTGGGGAGGGCCCATGAAGCTTCTTTCTAATTATGGTATGAAACAAGGACCCAATTTTCACTGAGAAACTCTGAAATTAAAAAGCCATTTCTGAATCTTGTCTCATGTGGAGAGCATTAGCAAAAATAACAGCCTCAAACCTCCAAATTCTTCATTCACTCAATCATACTCAATCTTTTTAACAATTTTCAGCTTTAATTCTAGAAAAGGCTGTCTTGTTCCATGTCATTTAAAAAAAAACTGAAACGTGATGCTGAATCGTGTTTCCGATTTTCAGATTAGCAACCAAGTTAAAGAGGAAGATTTACATTCTCCTCTTTCATTTATCTTCTCATTGGTTTCTTTCCTTCCCATCCTCAGAGAAGTTTAGATGTTGCCTTAAAGAGAATCTGAGCTCTTTTACTCCTCATTATCTCGGACACTCACTGTCATGGTTCAGCGCCTGGCCTGAAACCACAGTATCTGGAACACTGCCAGGAGTGACCTTGGCATGACATTAAGTATTACTGCCTAAGCATATTCTATAAATATCAGTAGTTACAAAGGTTAGGTTAATAGTCACTTTTGTAATACGTTCCCACTGTCATTTCTGTACAAAAATATAAAATCAAAACAAAACTTTTATAAATAAAATACAAATCAATCTCCCCAAAATGAACACATACAACACCATATGCATAAATAATAGTTATACAACACAAGTTTGTAGTTACCAGTCTTTAAGTGTTTTCTTTTATAATGAAATATTAGCTTAAAAAGTAATTTGCATTTTATGACAACACAGAAAGAAACTTCAGTTCTAAAAATAAACCTCTCAATGAATCAATATCATAAAAGAGCTCAAAATGCATTTTGAAGTAAGTTACAGGATTACAAATCATTTTGAGCTAATTTATGTAGCTCCTAAATTGATCTTAATTATTTTTCCTTTAATTATAGATTTTATATGTATTAAGTGCTAAGCACCCTACTCGAGAGCATGCAATACCAATGCTTAATTTTATTTTTATAACTTCCTACCTAAAAGTGGTTTCTTTACAACTAGTATCTTCATTACAACTTCCCACCAACTCCTTACCCAGACACCTAGTTTGCATATTTCCCCCTAAAACACATTCAACTTTGTCAAAATACAAACCTTTTGTGACACTTTTTTTTTTTTTTAAAGATTTGTTTATTTATGCATACAGAACTGGCCTACAGGCCAGAGGTGCAGGGGCAGTGAGAGGATTCACCAGAGTCAGAACTGGGAGAAGAACAGGCTGACGAAGTACACTGCTGAGAGAAGCAGCGGGCGCTTCAGGAGAGGTCTGCTGTGCCATGTGGGTCACCTCCGGGACAGGGATCGAACTCATGCTGAAGTGGCTTTAGCTTCTTAGTGCTGTGCTTTAACCTGCTGCACCCCCAGGGAAGGCCCAACACTTTTTAATTTAGTATTTCAATTTTTTTCTTCTGTTAATTGCTCATTAATGCACTCTGAATATTTTGTTTTGGCATCAATTGTTTTTTGTTTGTTTTGGTTTTGTCTTTTTTTTTAATACATTTTTTTAAAGATTTATTTACTTATTCATGCAGAACTGGGGTACAGGCCAGAGATATGGAAGGTGAGAGGATTCACCAGAGACAGACCAGGGAGCAGAACAGGCAGATCAAGAAGTACACTGCTGAGGGGAACACAGGAGAGGTCTGCCACACCATGTGGTCACCTCCAAGGCAGGCAGGGATCGAACTCCTGCTGAAGTGGCTTTAGCATCTTAGTGCTGCGCCACCAGGGAGGGCCTGGTTTTGTCTTTTAAATGAAGAACATCAGTTCTCCAAAAGATATTCCAGAGATTTTAAGCTTTAATATAATCATATCAACCAATCTTTTACATATTTAAAAAAATCTTTCCCATACTAACATACTCATCTGTATTTTTTCCCAGTCTTTCAACTTTATTCTTTTTTCAATATGCTGAAGCTTCTTTCTAATTATGGTATGAAACAGGGACCCAGTTTTTTCCCCTGTATCTAGAGCTAATTATCCCTGCATCCTTCACTGAATAGCCTTCTCTTTCCCCACTTATCTGCACCACCAACCACCTCTGTCATGTTTTGAAGTAACCTAAAGGGAAAGGTCTGATGTAGATTCTATTCTGTTCTACTAGTCTATCTATCTTTACTTTGGCACACCATATTCACAGACTAAATTACTCTCTCACTTGCACACTTAATAAAGTTGAAACTGTAAGAACATTAGTTTTATTCCTTTAAAGAAAAACAAAAACAAAGGAGAGAAAACAAACAGTAGCTACTTTAGTGGGGAGATAAGGAAGAATTGGTGAATGAGTACCAAGATTTTAGCTGTTAATTGAAATGTTACATGTCTGAACCTGCATGGAAGGAGATGAATAATGGACAGTTTTAAATGTTTTAAAATAACAATAATCAAAATGATAAAGAGGTTAATGTTAAAAATGTAACCAAATTCAGGGTTAGTACAGATTCTTTTTTCTTAGCACTTTAAAATATACGTTAATATTCAGAATGGTGACATACACATTACAAGATTTTAAAGCAAAGATGATATTTCACTAGTATGTTCTTAAGCTCTAAAAGAGCACCTATCACTGTTAAGTAGTATCAACACTAACGAGAGATTTTATTGTTATCAGAAAAGCTGTATGTTTATCAAAAAAAAATTGAAAAATCGGCCCTCCCTGGTGGCACAGTGGGTTAAAGCACAGCACTGAGAAGCTAAAGCCACTTCCGCATGAGTTCGATTCCCGCCTGCCCCGGAGGTGACCACATGGCGTGGCAGACCTCTCCTGACCTGCCTGCTGCTCCCCTCAGCAGTGTGCTTCGTCGAGCTGCCTGTTCTGCTCCCCGCTCTGTCTCTGGTGAAGCCTCTCACCGCCCTTGAGCCTCTGGCCTGTACCCCAGTTCTGTATGCACAAATAAATAAATCTTTTAAAAAAAGTTGAAAAATCTCTTCTCGGTTATACAGAAAATCAAGTTTGATGTACAATCTTGTTCCACATATAATTATGAGAGTTAAGATACTGGTGGTTCAGACTCGAGGATAAACCACTCTTTAATTCACTAGTAACTAAAATAGGGGCCTTGAATAAAATATCATAGGTCACTTGAGAAGGGGAATGAGACCTGTGACAAGCAATGTGGTAGTCCTTACTATATAATAACAATATTACTATATAGAAAGTTGATGTAAGGAAAAAGGGAAATAGACAAAAATATACCCTTTTAGGGAAAAAAGAAAACTACTGACTCCTTTTTATAATACTAGTAAAATTTAGAAAGACTGGGTGACTCTAGCTCCCACTGCTCCAGTCATCTCCCAGAGGCCAAAAGCTAATTCAGAGGATAAAGGAGATCTCATTCCTGTGTCAATTTTAATGATGAGCGCTTTCCCCAAAGATCTTCAATATATTTCTCCTCCAATGCCACTGACAAAAACCATACCATATGTAAATCAATCAGTGGCAGAAGTAGAATTACCAACACTGTTTTAGATCTTAACCCTGTACATTCGTAAGAATCACATGGGATGTCTAAAAATTAGTAATACCTGAGCTCTATCTTTGAGATTATTACTATTTAATAGGTCCCCTTACTTTTAAATTTCACAGGGGCTTTTGAATGTACAGCCAAGATGAAAATGCTAGGTAATTAAGTCTACTGGGAAAAATACTAGCTAAGTAGCCGGGGCTCCTCAGGTATTCACCTCATTCTCAGACTGCATCCCCTCTCAAGGACTGAAGCATAAGCCCACATTATTTAAATGGAATAGCTCTGTCCACCAGTCATTTTACCACTATTAAATTCCCAAATGAAACCACTCAGACTCTCTCCCCCAAGAATCTGTTCATCTGAAGTAATGAAACAATGCTATATTTCCTTATAATGTAAGTATTTATTTAGATGAGCAATACAGTTGACTTACAAATTACTTACCTAGTGTGCATCGAAGCTGAGGCTGAAGCCTAGTAAAAACTTCATTTCTAACTTCATTCAGAGAGGCCTCTATCTTTGCAAGTACATCTTTAGTAAGATTTTTACAATCTCCATCTAAAAATAAAATACAGAAAACTATCTGTCATCAACCTGTTATCTTTCCACTGAAAATTAAGGCACTACCAAGAATGAGCTAAGCCAATAAATTGTGCAGAATCAAAATGAAGAACCTAGAATTTCCTTAATTCTTTCTCTTCTTCTGCGGTGCACCGTATATTCCCCTAAATGCTGGTTAACAGCACAATACTGTTTACTGCCTGACAAAATCTGTGACAAACTTTCTCATCCAAACCACCATAGGCCTACTAAAAAAAGAAAAAATCTAAACTTTCAGATATTTTACCTATCTGTGGCACTGAAGCTCTTAGAACATGTGATCTATGGTCTAAGATTATGCCTAAGACATATAATAATTTATTCTTCTTTCAGGTAGCTTTTACTGACCTTAGCTATAGATCACGGGTGCTAAGTCACAGGAAGAAATAAATTGATAAGGAGTCTTAAACTTAGTGATTATTTCCCAAACTTGGTATGTTTTCCTCCTAAATCTTTAGAGATGAGGCGGATCTTCAATAACATCATGAATCAACACAATTCCAAGTCCTGCTTTTTTCCACCATGTTTCATAAAAACATATCTGCATGACTCAGCTAGCTATGACATTCCAAATGAATCATACATAGTTCTATCTATTTACCCCCCTTGCTGAATTTCCTTTTCATGACTACAAATACTATTATGACAAACATCTTTGGGTCCATATCTATGTTTCTATCATTTCCTTAAGTCCTCAAGATGGAATTACCATACCAAAAAACTAGTCATAGTTACTGTGAGAAGTATTTTGCTAGAAACTTCCAGATGCATATTACTCTAGTTATTCTTAAGCTCAATTCTTTTACAAATAAACCATTAATATAGCCTAATCACACTGTTTATCATTTGCTTCATTATAAAAACATCTGAACTTCCCTACAAGGTGAAGTAAGCATCAATCAGAATTTATTTGACCAGGCCAAAGAAAAAGAGAGAGAAGAAACTTAAAATTTAGAGTAATGCAGCAATTACAATATTTTAAAAACTACAACTATTCTATAAATAAAATAAAAATTAGAAATCAAAACTAAGTCCAGTATTCAAGTTAAAATTTGAATGAGAAGTATGTTCTGCAGAGATTAAGCTGAAACAACTGTGACCTGCACATACTGGGGTTATAAGCAAAAATGCTGGTAAGAAACTGAGTTTTTAAAAATTTATAATGCAATTTAAAAAAAATTCAATCTCAAAAAAAAAAAAATCAAACAGAAACAAATTATCTAATAAACTATCACTTTTACATTTCTACAGCTAAATGTGGCTTAAGAATGTGCTGGAATGTTTTTTTTATACATAAAAATATGGAATTATGTTTGTACAACTTTCAGGAAAGCTGTTCCCTGTAGGATATAATCTGCAATGGATTCAAAAGATATATTGCTATTCTGTCATGGTGTTTGTGAAAGACCAAACTGACGCCATGATAGGGCTTCAGAATACTTCTGAACCAGCCAGGCCTAAGTTTTGGTTATCAACATTGCACCAAGGCCGAGTTTAGCAGTAAATGTCCTGATCTTGCTCATCCCATAGCAACAGCCAATTAGCAAGTAACCAGTACATATCAGGAGAGCACCAGATGTCTGAAGGTATGTGGGCTGAGTAGCGAAGGTCACATCTTACATGCACAGACCAACCCGGTTAAAACAAGACAACTTTGTTCAATGTCAACCAATCAATGTACTACTGAGCTAAAATTCCCCTCTTCGGTAATAAAAACCCTGCTTTCCCTGAGCTCAGGGCTCTTGACTTCAGCCACTGTGCATGTTGGGAGCCCAGGCTCGAGCTTGCAATAAAGACCCTCCTGTGCTTTGCATCGGAATCGGCTCCTTGGTGGTCTTTGGGAAACTCGAAATCTGGGTATTATATTTGTTTATTCATAATACCAAAAAAAAAAAAAAAAAGGCCAGCAACTAACCAGTCAACAATGGAGGAAAACATACAATATAAATATGAAAGATAGAATAATCAAAATCATGCTATCATAAAATAAGGACTTTTATTCTGTAAAATAGCAAAAAAGCCCATTAAAATATTGTGGTACTAATACAGAAATAGAAAAACAGTCCTCACGTGGAGAACATGACTACAGTCAAATTGAATAAAGGATGAAATCTTATACCATCCAGTAGTAAGACCCAAAATGCCCTGATGATTAAAATAGTGTGGTACAGATACAGGGATAAGTAAAGCAACCATGAGAACTGCACACGTACACAGAATCTTGTATGAAAAGGTGGAATGGCAGCACAACTAGAGGGAAAAATTGAGCTAGAAAAACCAGTCATGCAAGAAGGGAAAAAATACATCCTTATTTCACACTATACATATAAAATTAACTCCAGTAGAATTAAGAATTTAGAATGCCAAAGGGAAACCTTGCTAACTTTATAGTGACAGTAAGAATAAAGGAGTTTCTGATCTTGGGGAAGAAAAGATTTCTGTTAAAAGCCACCAAATCACTAGCTACAAAAAGAAAGTTTTATTTCTATACATCAAAACTTATCTTTAGAAGATAAAAACATAAGATACCAATTGGGAAATCTAGCAACACACATACAAAAATAAGAACTGAAGAAAAAAAATTCATTCAAATTAAGAACATGATAGTCAACAGAATAAACAGAGATAAAACACAAACAAGAAGGGAGTATGTGGTCAATCTACACATGAAAAACTCTTAATCTGGGAAACCTAACAATGACCAACCATTTTACATTATAGCAAAATTCTCAAACAGTGAAAATATTCAAGGGAGACTATATAGACTAGTATGACCACTTGGGAAAAAAAATGCCTTTATCTTGTGAATCTGAACTCAGGATAGATCTGGTAACCCCATTCCTATGGCATATTCTAGAAAAACTTTTTACATGAGTTTTGGATATATGGCCAAGAACAGTCACAACAGCAATATAATGTAAAAAAAAAAAAAAGACAACAGGTAAATAGGGATATTTACAAAATGGAGTATTAGCAATGAAAATAAAAACTCTCAAATACAAAAAGCTTTCCAGATAAATTATCTATGAAAAAGAAAATCCCAGAAAACAGGCTATACAATTTTCTTAACCACTTCAAAACAAACTAAATTAGGGATATACAGAAAAAACTGTTAAGAAAGAATGACAAAACATTTATTTCATGGTAAAGACTGCTTTTGCAGGAAGGTAGAAGTTGGGATGGGGAGAAACACAAAGATAAAAGAAAGAATATTTTAATTTTTCTTGGGTTGGAAGTGGGCCCATGAGTATCCTATTTTATAGAAAATAAAACAAACAATATACTCTTCACTGTGAAAAGAAATATTTCTGAGGGTAGAGGGTGGGAGTATATGGGATTATGGTAAAATTGTATTACTTCTTTATTCTGCTTTACAGCATTTTTAAACTTAAATTTTTACTTTGCTGTACACTGTGATGACCACCACCACCCGGCCAACAGCATGTGTATTCTTTGCTCTTGGTTTTTTAAAGATTGCCTTTGGCCAGTCATGATCATCTCAAGAGTCGTGACACTATCCCTGAGGTATCATTGTTGTCAGGTTTCTACATAAAACAAAGGCTAGTGATGACATTTTTTTCATGCTGGGAAACAAGATTCAACATTATTCTTTTTTAAAAGATAAAGAAAAATATTACCAACCTTTACTTCCATCCAAATGATTAGTTTGCAGAAGTTTACTGGCTTGATTATACTTTGTAAATAACTGCCAGAACACCGATTCCTCTTCAGTGCACAGCTCAGTTACAGTGCTTTTTAACTGTTCTAAGTGCACCAATGCAGACAAGATACAGTCTAACCAACAGAGAGCATAAGCATTTTTCCACTGGACACACAAAGTCTGACAAGATAATGTGCTTTCCTGTGGCACTTCCTGTCCAGATATGCATCCTTCATTTTGAGAAGTCCCTCCAGTTCCAGAGACATTAACTGTAATAGGAGTTTCTTTAATAGCCCTATCAAGAATATCATCTTCCAAAATCCTATTCTGTCCCATGAAATCAGCTGTTCCAATAGAATTCTGTTGATCATTGTGTAGTAAGTCAGGCAAATTTGATGAGGTTTTATCATATACTTCTCCATTTTGTTTGCTATTCAATTCTTGCTCATCATCATCAGCATGATTTTTAGTCTTTTTGGAATTTACCAAAATGGGTGAATCTTTATAGTTGTTTTCCAAGAGCTTTCTTTTTTGAGGCTTATTTGGAATGTGACAATCTTCCAAATCAGGAGAAATCAAATTATTAAGAGACTTAGAACACAAAGGATAGATGCACTAAAAAGAAAAAACAAAATGATACCAAAAAACCCATTAAAATTCAAATAAGCTCAAGGTTTACTTCTGTTATGAAAAATAACACTTAAAATTTTAGCATTAATTTAACATGAAAGGGTGTAACATTTTAACATTAATTTAACATCAATTTAACATTACCATCATTCTAAAACTAAAGGAACAAGGGATAACTATTTAATCAAAAATTTGATCCCCAAATGTTTTCTCTAGTAAATATGAACATCAAGTACTTAATCTGCACTACCTAGAGTTACCTAAAAAGGAAAAAATTACATGTTTTGTTTTAATAAAATATATTTAAGAATTCTAGCAATTTAAAAAAAACAACATCCTATGATGAATGTCAGTCTTTGAGGACATATACACTCTATAACATAAAAAATTAGAAAAGTATTTCCAAATTAAAGTTGCAATTTCTGTGTTTCTAATCTTGAAACTGAGTATTTACCTGAGAGTTTATGAGCCTATCAACTTTTATCCTTTAGGTCTAAGAGTCCGAATGGTTGAGTTTTAAAGACTTCATCAAATCTCCCTGTGCGATAATAAAATTTCAGCCAAACATTGAAAGTATAAACAAATCACTAAAATAATCAATGATTTTTTTTTAAGTCTGAAAACTAGCAAAATACTTTATAAGGTATCTATATACTATGTACCCACGTTCAAAATATGCCTTCTCTACACAAGTATGATACACTGCTATGTGTGGCCTCCAGTGAACCAGAGAATTACACCTCTGGTATCCTTGCGTTGCTATGGTCACTCCCCCCTCCCTTAACAAGTTTGGGCATAGCCATGTGAATGGCTCTTATGGGACATCAGCAAGCAGGAAGCATGTGGAGACCTAATCAGCATGACTCCTGGACTTGTCCTCATGAAGTTCTCCTTGTACACTCCTTAGTCCCAGCTATCATACAGTCCAGTAGGCTTCTGGAGAGACACTCACAGAAAAGAGCTGAGATCCTGCCTAAAGCCCAAGCTGAGCTCTCAGTCCCAGTGTGTGCCAATGGCCAGGCATGCAGACATTTCAGTTGTCTCAGCCAACAGCATGTGAAGAATAAGAATTGCCTGGTTATTCCACAGAATCATAAGTAATAATAAGCCATGAAGTATTTTAAGTCACTAAGTTTTAAGGTGGTTCATTTCTCAGTAATAAATGAAATCCTTTCTCTTAAAGAAGTTTCTTCTTTACAAATGAATACTATATTTTGTACTTAGGAAATGAGTTTTTTTTAAACAGGACAACTTCTGGACTCTTCTGTTGCCAACTAGCTGTGCAGCCACCATTAACAACTTGATCCTCAGCTTTGACACCTTGAGATTATTTCGTAAATCCTACTACAAGTCAGAAACCTAACACCTAAAAATGAATAGCAGTAACTGTACTTAGTGATTAAAAGGCACATATCCAAAAATTTTTAAAACTGGACCTCAGAGATATTTGCACACCCATGTTCACTGAAGCATTATTCACAATAACCTAGAGGTAGAAGAAAACATCCAAGAACTGACAGATACATTTAAATTTTTTAAATTTAAAAAATATATCAAGATACACACAATGCCTCATCACACTTAGTCCCTAAGTCCCTACTTACTTCCCTGAAATATTTCAACTATTTTCCAATTTGTTGCCCTTATTATGGTTCCTCATTTCAGTTACAGACCTTATAATGGCCTATAAGATGCTATTTGGTACAACCCTCTCCCCATGATTTTTCTGACCCATCATTATCATGCTACCTCACTCAGAACCATTTACACTGGCTTTTTTGCAGTATCAACAAAATTAATAGCCAGATTCCATTCTTTCAGGGTCTTGTACCGGCTACTCTCCCTCACTGTATACTCGAGCATCAGATATCCTCATGGCTTTTCTTTCTTCATCACTTTCAGATCTTTCATCTTCTCAACAAAGATTTCCTTCACACTCTAAACAGTGAACTCCCATTCCCTGAAACTCCAGTACTGGTAGCATTATTTTTCTCCATAGCATTTTTTATCACCTTGCACAAGAAAATATACTGTTTTCTTTCCTTTTCCAACATAACCTTCTTGAAAGTAAGAAATTGTTTTACCTATGATATTCCAGCATCAAAAGCAGTTCTAACAAGTGACATTCAAAAATATGGAAGAATACAAAAAGAAATCTATTTCTATTTGTAAGAATGTCTAGGATTTTCTTCAGATTATAGTCAGCATTAAGTATCTCTCAACAGTATGGTTTGGTTTACTATCTTCAAATTTAGGCTCACTCTCAAAAGTCACAAAACTATACATTTCTCGTTCAAGTCCACTGAATCAACATCTAGGTGAAGCCCATAAATTTTTTGTTTTTCATTTTAATCAAGTTATAATTTATTAGCATAATATATTTAGAAGATAATACTTTATAAATGATACTTCCAGACATTTCACTGGACTATGTTGTTTTATTTTTTTACATCATTTTGTGCATTTTTCAATCCAGTTGTAATCCCCTTGGGCTTCACATCACCAAGTCACCCATTGTGCCATCACCACAGTAAGGCCCATATATTTTTAAAAAGCATTCTTAGTGATTCTGACAGTTGGCCTAGAACTAAATGTGACTGGAATTTGAAGACTATATTCTAAGACAGACTCATAAATTGTCAGGTACGATAAAATTTAGTTTATGGAGTTTAATGAGCTTCCACATAAAAGTTGTACCAATGGGTACAAATCACTATAGTTAATTCTAAAAGATATGTAGAACTTTAAACACACAATATTTAGAGAATAACTTTTTTAGTAAGTCTCAAAGTTAACCACAAAGATCTGAATACGTACTATATATCAATTAATAACAAGGATCTCCACAGGGTTTAAAAAGTAAAATCTTGAAATGCATTTTCTCCTCTCACAATTATAATGCTAATAAAAATAAACATCTTCATGCATTAACTCAAGATACCAGATAGAAAAATAACAAAATATTTTAAATTGTATACCAGGCAGAACTAGAAACTCTGATTACATATTAAAATGCACAGCCTACAAAGTATAAAATGAGTACAGATTTAAGCAATGGAGGGAAAAAAGAATACTAAAACCTTGATAGTATTAAGAATACTTTACCTGCAAATCCTCACACAAAAAGATGGATTCTTGAAAACTAATTCGATAACTCTTCAAGGCTTTTAACTTTCCCTTCTCTTTACAAGCAGGGCAATACCCATCTGATAGAACTTCAGCTGAATCATAATTCTAAAAGAGAAAGAAAGCAAATTAAAATATAGACATTACTACAATGTATCAAATTACAAAAACTAAGTAGAAAGCAACAAGATAAAAATTACAATTTTCAATTAGGAGTGTCCTGGCAAAATATTTTAAACATGGCAAATAAAAGAAATGCATTTGTTTTTAATATAGCTCTTATTTCAAAAAATAATATGAAGTTTAAAACTTAGAATTTTAACTTTAAAGAATAGCATCAGTTTTATCTGCAAGGAAAAAAATAATGTCAACTGCCAGGGGAAATATATGCTCCAAATTTTCAAATAGTAAACGATAAGGTCCATGTTTTACTTCTACATTCACATATCAATTAAACAGAAACAATCACGTTATAACAATCTTTCGCCTTTACTATAAGATTTCCGTGGAAGATACACTTTTTTAGAAGTTAGTTGGTAAAGTTAGAACCAAATTCAAGTCTCAAAAATAGGAGGATAAAACCCCCAACTTTGCACTGAGGCAAAAAATAAGTTCACTAACTTTTCCCAAATACCCCACCATGTGGAGTGAAGATATCCCTATATCAGCCCCTGGTCCAATCACTGGCAAACCATTTCCAATCTTCCGGGAATCCATCATTCCGAGTCATTGGCTAATTTATGTCACTTGAAACATGTCAATATCACTAAGGATTTTTCAATGAATCCTGAAAAAAAAAAAGGTCAATAGACAATAAATAAAAATCCTATAAAAAGAGCTATGTTACTTTATAATATGTATATATATTAAGTATATTTTGAGAACTACAGGGCCTTAAGTAAACTTTCTGAAATGTAATCTTGAAATGAAAACAAAATGCCTACATTTATCTGTAACTCTAGCAATTATAAGGATTAAGCAAAAACTGGTAACGTGACCAGTTTTCATAAAAAGCTTGAATGTAAGAAAATTTATTAAATTTCATAATAAGAGGTGATTATTTGAAGCACACTACATTGACCAGTTTAAACACCTAAGTTTTTAGAGTCTATTGAACTATCTGAGTCAAGTATGTCAGCACCACACTAAGAAAATTACTTGAAAAACCCCAAATCTGACAGTCAAAAGAACGCCACACATCCCCACTGTTTTCAATAATTCAGTATCTCACCAAATGAATGTTACTTTTTAAAAGTTGCCAACAAAATATTATTTTATATTAAAATACAGCAGCTTCCCCTTTTCCAAAGGAGACTGGATTCAAGACCCCTAAGGGATGCCTGAAACTAAATGCTACAGACACTTAGTTTCTTCCTAGACACACATACCTGTGATACAGTTTATAAACTAGGCACTAGAAGTTTTGAAATAAATAACAGAACAATTATAACAATATGCTGTAATAAAAATTATATAATGTGTTTCTCTTTCAAAATGCCTACTGTATGTAATATTTTCATATGGAAGGTGACCATCGGTACCTTGAAACTTGAATCATAGATCGTGATGGGAAGGGGGTGGGGGAGCAGCCTTTCCAGAAGCTAACTAGCTAAGAAAGAAAAAGGGGATAAAAAGACACTTCTAAACCTAAGCAGATTCCCTTGCCATGATTTGTGAAGGAAAGAGAATATAATATATTCCTCAAACATTAGACACTGAGGAGACAAAATGAAGTCTTTTCCCAATTGTTTTACATTTAACACATCAGTTTTTGAAAACCAGATCTTTGTCTATGTCTTCCTTGTTCTGTTTTATTCCCCTCTAAATTTTAATGTTAAAGACTTACAGATGGCACCTACATAAATTCTAAGCTCAGGAATAAATAAAAACTAAACCAAAATGTTTTCTAAGACCTCCAGATCTAAGACAATTTCATCATTTAATTTGAAACATGCATACCTTTACAATTGCACTGTTAGGTATTAATACTCTTTTCCTATTTAAAATGTGCTTATAATTAGCACATAACCTTCAAGAAGCAAAAGGAACTGACCTGGTCTCATAAGGGTCTATGACTAATGTTAAAAAAAACCAAACAAAACAAAACAAAAAAACCCTTGTTTGTGGTAAGTTTAAACAAATGAGATATGAAAATCTAGCAAAGATTAAGTCGCTCAGGTTTTATTTGTGATTTCACACTTTAAGTAGGGTAAGTTAATGGGGTAAAAATTTAAAAAAGGATTACTTCAGGCAATTCCAAATAAATTGGATAAGGGGCTACACCCCTAGGAGAATACTTCAACTGGTAACTCCATTTTGAATCTGTCCCTTTTATCATTATTTCCCAAATATCTTTGGGAAAATTAAGGTTTTACAATGTTTGATGGGAATTCATTGGATATCTAGAACATCTTAACAAAAATTACTGAGCTTATAGATTTGTTTTGGCTCCTATTGCAAAAGAATTAAAGAACTTAATGTCTGAGTAAAATGTCCTATTACTTACAAGAAAAAAATCTTGATAACGTGTTTTACAAATAATGAAGTTACTGTTAAGTCTTTCTAATCTAAAGGGATGTTGGCGTTATGAGTAATTATAATACCTTACAATCTAGAAATTGGAAAACAAAGGTGAAATAAATGCAAGATTTTTTTTTTAAAAGGAATGTACACAGAATGGATTTCTTTTTTTAGGGTCTCAGAAAAATGTAGTGTCAAGATGAAACTGGTTATTTCTGGAATGGGATAATAAAGAAATGGGAAAGCAAGAAGGTATACAAGTTTTGACAGAAGACTTAGGAAAAGTTTAACTATATGGTCAAGTGACTTGGTATAAATGCTTTAAAATTAAGTTTTAATTTAAGTAGTATAACTTACGTGAAATCAAACTGATTTTCTTTCTTCTGCTGAAAGTATCTGCAAACAGCTTGTGCTAAATTAAAAACTGTTTAGATAATATGACGATCTGTTGTTCTTTTACCCTCCGGCTTGGTAAGCAAAAAGAGAAATCTAGTAGCACTGTCAGTATTGCTCAGTGTTGTCTGAGAAATAGATCCACTCTTAAAAAATCTGTCACTCTGGATAGTCAAGTATTTTATAAAAATCTGCGTGTGTTGAGTCTGTGACAAATTTTCCTTGGAAATTAGAATTCTAAAATAACAGTAGGCATTAATTAATTAACAAGAAAAGTAACAAGGGAGGTTTTGTAAGGGCTCTGAAAACACCCATTAAACTGCTCTCCTTGTAGAAAACGACATTAAAATAAATTGGACCAATATGGGTATAAAACTTCATGGGAAGCACTGTCATAAGGAGAAATGTTAAACCTTTTCTGCATGTATGTAAAGAGTGTATTCTAAAATATGTGAAACTTCTTAAGTCTAATATGTTCTGGTGTAATAGTCCTGACCAATCCTGGTTATTAAAATTTATGTCACAAAACAGAACAAACATCCTTGTCAGTTATATTATAACTGCATATCAATTATGGTGATTTAGAGGATTTTTCTGGCCATTTATGGAAGTTATTTAGTCTTTGTACTCAGAAAAACTCCCAGAAAAAAGATTGATGAATATCTTAGCTTTACTGATCTGTCATGGAACAGAATTTAAAAATTGCAGCATTTATGGAAAAAATTTTAAATGTTAACAGACATCAATATTTTCTACAATGGAGGGCAAATACAATTTTTTAAAAGATTTATTTATTTATGCATACAGAACTGGGATGCAGGCCAGAGGCACAGGAACAGTGAGAGGATTCACCAGACACACAGTGGGGAGCAGAACAAGCTAACTGACGAAGTACAATACTGAGGGGAGCAGTGGGTAGATCAGGAGAGGTCGGGCAAATATAATTTTTAATCGGGGCCCTCCCTGGTGACACAGCAGGTTGAAGCACAGCACTGAGAAGCTGAAGCCACTTCAGCATGAGTTCAATCCCCACCCCAGAGGTGACCCACATGGCACGCAGCAACCTCTCCTGACTCACCCACTCTCCCCTCAGCAGTGTACTTCTTTGAGACCTGTGAATCTATTTTGGGACTTCTGAGAAGAGGAACTTACCCAAAGATTTGCAGGCAAATTCTGACGCTGAGACTTTGGCAGGGTCCTGCTTACTGAGAGGCTATTTGATTTCAATATAAGACCCTTATTAAATGTTAATGTTTATGTTTTAAAAGTAGATTTTGTTCTTGTGCTTAATAAAAAAATTGACCAAAGTGTACTGATACTAGACAAGTTACAAACAAGTTTTATTGTACTTATTTGGCAAAATTGGAGGAAAGATGAAGAAATGTTTGAGTAACATTTCTGATCTTTTTAGTCACTGTTGAGATGTTTGATTTTCTATCTTTACCCTGGATTGGATCCTGAAGTTTTGTAGTAACTGGCCATTTTTCAAACTAACATTTCATTTTTTTGCCCAATCTTTTGTCATGGACTGACTGAAAACTAAAACTATCCTTTTAAAATTGAACAACTTGTTAACTGGAAAGATTACCATTACCAAGATGGAAGTGCCTAAATGTCTGTTACTATTTCATGAACACCTCATGAATGACATCAAACTGCAAGAAAGGAAATCACTACCCACCCTCATCCCATTTGAAGATGCTTCAAGCCCCAACATCTAGAAAACCCCTCAACTAGTTTCCTTCAGCTAAAAGGCTGGACATGTGTTTTGCCACAATCTTTAATCTTTTCTCTTTTGTTGCCATGGAAAGTGCTTACATAGTATAGGTTTAACTTTGGATTCCTCTACAAGGAAATCTTCAGAAATTGGACACAATTACTTAATTGGATTGACCCAGTCTCAGAAAGGGGAACTGGTTACCTAAAATAACTGCACTCAACTTCTGAACTGGAATTTCTTGAGAAGTTACAAAAGAACAAAATCTGAGACCCCAAAGCATGCCTTTGGCACGAGGTTTATTTCATGGAAGCAACTCTGAAGGCTGAGTGGAAGTTGCTTTTAATGTTTATATCTAAAGTTCTCTCTGTAAGGGTCTTTCCCAATACCCTCAAATATCCCTTACCTCTTTTCTCTATGGAGAAGAAAAGTACTTTTGCAATGCCCAAAATAACTTCACTTTTTTCCCCCCAGGCTTCCTAATCCTAGTTAAGCTATTTAAGTTGCATCTATCTCTCACATCTACAAGGATGCAATATGTTATTATTAAAACTCCCTTAATGACTTTTTCTCTTAGCAAGGGGGAAAAAAAAAGAGTAACAAAGGTGGGTTATTTGGGTCTTCCAAATTCAATTTACTTCGGTATACAATACAGTACATCTCCCAGGAATGATTCTTAAACTCAACTTGTCCCTTAAATGACCCTTTAATTGTTCTCCCTGCAAACATAACCACACCTCTTTGTAGCTCATCTAGATATCTCTGCATCTCCATCCTCCAAAAACACACACTGTGCTAGAAAAATTGAATGGTTCTCTATTTTCATTTCCTTCTTCGTTATCTAGTAAAAGTTAGCTATTTTTGTGAACAGTTCTGAGGAAGGATCGCAAATTCCCACCCATTTCTATAGCATCCCCACTTCTTATCATTGCAAAAGTGATGCTTCTATAAAACAAGTCTGATTCTGTCACTGCTCAGCTTAAAATCTGCTCTACTCCAGCCTGGCTATAAAAAAGTCCAAAACTCAGGGTGACCTAAAGGTAGTATGACCTAAAGCTTATTGATTGATCGCACTATGAGATCAAGCTGATTTTCCAGTTTTACCCTCTTCACTCCGGGCATCTTTCTTCCAACGTTCCCTTTTTCACATTTCGATGAGCCACTAATGCCATCCCAAAGTCTGAATGTGAATTACCCAGTTACAGCGCGCAATTAATGTGTAAAGTTGGTCTTGGCAAGAGCAATTAAAAGTAAGCAGTTAAGATCATTTCACAGTCCCGTACGTAAACGGGAGAAAACAAAAGAAACAGCAGTTCAAAAAGGAGCCTTTACCCCCGTTTGAACTTGCCCTCCGAAGACCAAGTGGGTTCAGCAAAAGACTGTCAACAGTGAGTCCACGAAAGACTTGAGGCCCAAGAATGGGGCTGGTTTTTGATGCGCAGTCAAGTACCAAATCCATCATCCTGATAAAAGGTCAGTTTCAAAATCTAACCTGGGAAACTCAAGGAGGCGCAAGGTTCCATTAACCCTTCCCATTTCCGCGCGAGTAAGAAGGAAGGTAGGGAGGGGGAAACTTTGGTTTCTCTTCAGCATTTACCTCTGGGTCCAAATGGATCTGTAACTTCATCTCTATTACATAACAACCCTTCCCACCCTACCTCGTTCTGACCCCTTCCCTCTCCCAGTCTAACCCGTCCTTTCAAGTGCGCAGATTACCCCATAGGTCACCTAGCTCTCCCCAGTTCTCTACTTCGGGAACTGAAAATAAACAACCTCTACCCCCTTACCTGCCGTGGGAACTCCCCTTCTTGGCACTGAGTCGACCCGAACTCCTGTTCCAGCGTGAGATCCACACCACCAAATGCAACGTTCAACCCACGTTCCCCTTAGCCAGCTCCTCCCCCACCAGTGTCTCCACTAAGAGAGTAGCTTCCGGCTTGAGTCCGCAGCAATAGCGTTCCCCTTCCTGCTCTGCACAGGACCTGAAAGGACTTAGCGTGACGGGGACATCTAAGACATGAGCACTTCCGGATGGGTTCCGCAGAGGCGTGGCCGTCCCCCCGGCGGGCAGAGTTTTAGCGGAGACGGCTAGGGGCGGGGCTGGTGGCTGCAGAGCCCGCCATTAAGGGAGTGGCTGGGTTTGGGGAGGCGACGTTTCTGGAAGCTGCAGGAAAGCGCTAGAGTGGCGGAGGTGACGCCAGCGGCCAGGGGGTGGAGCGTGATTAAAACTAGTGCGCGGCGGCAGCGGAGGGATTACGCTGAGCAAGGAGATAGGCGCTGTGTCTATGTTCCCGCTCTCGCGAGCCGTGTTGGAAGTCCACGCGCCCCTGAGTGACCTAAGTGGGTGGGCGAGGGGGGGGTCCCCGAAGCTGGCGAATGGTGCCGTGGAGACTTTAGGTCGGCGATTCATGCAGCTCTGCTGTGTCCACGATTGTGGGCCGCGTCATATCCCCATAGTCCTCTCTCCCTAACCTCAGTGAAAGCCGAGCTTCCATTGAGAGCGTGTTCACAAAGGGTCACCACACACGGAGCAGCCCCTGCCTGTCTCCCTAACCCCCATCTTCGAGGCCAGGGACTTTTCTACCAGGATTCTGGGGTGTTTCTCCTTTCTTCCCTCCCAGACCTTCTAACGGTAAGGGGAGTAGCCAAAGCACAGGAACTCAGCTACTCATCACCCATTCTTACTATTCAGTTTACTAGTCCCTGCTGCGTTAATTTCGGCTGCCCTGCCTTAATTTAACCGGAGGAAAGGGAGTGTTTCTCGTTTAGTTTTATAAGTTGTAAGACTGCTTTCGTAGAGAGGTCATGTGGTTGAAGGGACATCGTGACCGCGTGTGCTATTTCTGAATCTGTATTGTGAATCTTGGGGACAGCATATTCCAGAATTCCTTTTCGGTCGATTGATTCTCTGTCCTAGAATTACAGTTCATAGTTTCTAACCATTTCTTTACAGAGTAATCACCACTGGTATTTTGGGCTGTTAAGTATTTGTAGTGGTCTCAAACGAAATGATTACATGCAGGAATAATGCTTATGATGTGTTGGGGGTGGCATAGAGGAAACAAGTCACATGTCCTAAGGATTCTGCAAAAAGAATTTTAGTTTTATGAATGCAAATGACCAAGCGCTACCACAGGAAGTTTATTGTTTTGTTTTGACTGGTTTGCTTATTCTTTGTGTGTTATTAAGTCACTAATAAGTGTGTATTTGTAAAAGCTAGCTAGTTAAGTTTTCCTTTTGTTTTTTTACGTGAATGTATGGGAAAGAAGTATTTCCTCCTGAAACAGTGAAATTCAGATGATTTTTCCTGTTCATAGTTGCTGTTTCCATTTTTAGAATGGGATGCATAATTGTAATAAGAACTTGTTGATGTTAACTTCATAACAAAATAATTGATTCAGCTTAAGCTGTAAGTACAATTTAAGGTTGAAAAGTCAATATCACCAAATGTTGGATTTAATATCCAACATTGTTGTCTGAAAAATTGCTGTATAGTATTTTAGTGTAAAACTTTGAGGGGGGGGGAGGGAATGAGTAGGAGAAAATATGTAATAGTACCAAACAAAATGAAGGTGGTGCTTGGGTTGTGGGGAGGAAAAAACGGATTTTAATGAGGTGTGTTTTGGCTTAGATCTTTTTACCTTGTAATGGGTAGAAAAAAGTCATGTAGTACATTATAAGGGGTTCTAATGTGCAGCAGTCAATCTGGAGAGGTTCACTAAAAAAGTCCCCTTTCATTTATATTAGAGTAATGGTCCCAAGCTGAGAAAATTGTATTTATTACTACTTAATCCTTACCAATTTATTTGGAACACCTCATTCTATGTACATTGATGCCAAAAAGATTATACTTACTTTCCAGTAGGATTAAAGCTCATTGCCTCAATCCTCTTGTTAGCAACATGGGACAAAAGTTTATTTACCTATTTCCACTTTTAAATCATGTGTTTTAGTCAAAGAATGCTTTTATTAAGTTAACTAATCAACAGCTTCCAGTGCCAGTACAATGATGTACAATTAGGATTTTCTTTTTCTCTTTTACCATAATGTCAGGTCATTTTGTGACTTCTTCTAGGTTAGATTTCTTAACCACAAAGCAATCTTCAACCCACACTTGGGCTATAAAGTTACATCCTAAAATTACTTGTTTTGGTCACATCAAAAAGATGAAAGTTGAATTGACGAGCCCTTATTTTCTAGTATCACCATTGTGAGTATAGTCTATAATCAAATTTCAGCATTCACAGAGCTCTGAAAACCAAAACCTGTTTTAAGCTTGGAGACAAAATTCATTTGGTAGCAAAATGGATCTGATTCTGTGAGAAGTTTATATATATATAGTCCATCCCATGTGTTTTGCTAAAGAAATTAGTGCTTGGTTAAGGAATTGCCCTTGGCCACTGGTACTGAGGTGTTAGTTACTTGATGGTTTGAGTACCTTGCAATGTTTTCAAACTCCAAGGAAGTCATCTCTTAAAACACATCCAGTTCCTGGGTTCTGGTTCAGGACAATAAACCTATCATAATGTTTTTGGCAATGGACTTGTGCTAGGCATTTTGTTTAAAAAATAAAATAACTTAAAACATTTTAGTTCTTGTCCTCAATGAATTCAGTTGAGTCAGTAGAGAAAAATGTACATTTATATGTATTAAGTGACGTGATAGAGATTATCTGACCTATTTGCAAGCAAGCAGCAGATCCCTGGTGCATGTTTTGTTCAATGTGGTTTCATTATGATGTAGGTGAGAAAAAAAAAAAATTCCACCAACATTAAATGAAAAGACATTTGGGAATTTGCTCCCCCAGAAAAAAACTATCAATGTTAAGTGAGAACTTAAGGTAATGACTAGACAAGAAGTTGATAGTCTGAAAGAGTGAGATTATTTTATACATTGGACCCTAAAATTTAAATTTAACCTGACATCCCGCTGTATCACCCAAACAATGGCTCTGTTTTCGCCAACACAAAATGAGAAGACAGTGTGTTAAGAGTCCTAGACAGTGTGTTAGAGTCCTAGAGTAGACATCAGTATATCTAATTTCTAATTCTAACTTTTCTTCTTTGTGAACTTATACAAATTAGTATCAGTGCTTCAAGACATATAAAGTGAGAAGTTTTTAGATGGACCTGTTAAGGAAGGTCTCTTAAAATTCCACTCTACTTTGCAGGCATTCACCCTTGCAACTTTTAAAATTGCTTTCCATTAAGAATGTATTCATGGCCCCTCCCTGGTGGCCCAGCAGGTTAAAGCACTACACTAAGAAGCTTAAGGCCACTTCCCCATGAGTTCGATCCCCGCCTGGCCCGGAGGAGATCCACATGGCTGGCAGACCTCTCCTGATCCGCCCGCTGCTCCCCTCAGCAGTGTACTTCCTCAATCTGCCTGTTCTGCTTCCACTCTGTCTTGGTGAATCCTCTCACCCTCCGCATCTCTGTCTATACCCCAGTTCTATATGAATAAATAAATAAATCTTTAAGAATGTAATCACGCTTCAAACAACTTTCTTACTGATCTAAATTTTGTGTTTTCTTTTGTAATAGGTGAGACATTCACATGTTTCACCATTCAAAACATAAAAAAGAATTTGCCTTAGAAAGTTTTCCTTCCATACTATAATTTTACCCCACCATTCCTTGCATGGGAAGCAATCCATGTTCACAGTTCTTTGTGTATTGCTCCCCTACAAAATATTACATATATATGAGCAAATAAGTGCTATATGTTATATTAGTCTTACATAGATAGTTTATACTATACATAGTTCATGTACCTTATTTTTTCACTTATAGTAGTTGTTCTATAGTATTACATAGGTGGTCCTTCAGTCTTTTATGGTGATCTAATATTCATTGTATAATTATTATTTCATCATTCCACCTTTTGGACATTTTCTTCCTAATCTTTATTAAAAGCATTGAGTAATGAGTAACTTTGTACATTCATAAGTTTCTGCATTCAAGAATTTATCTGTGCCTTAAATGGTGACACAGCTCTTTTGGGGTTACTTAGTAACCAATAACATTTTAAAAATTGATAAAGTAGGGTCTTGAATATGTTTCTAGGGTTCCATCAACGATGATACATGTTTCTTATGCCATTATATAGTAATATAGTGTAGTCAAAGCCTTAACTTGGCTCTAAAGTAAATGTGAGCAAAAGTATTTCACCTGAATGACTATTTCATTTGCACCCTAGAGGAAACAAATGGATTATGTGTAGGAACCTTGTCCTAAACAAATATATAAATCTATAAACTGAAAAATCATGTGATAAAGATTTTCAATAAAAGGCATATGAGAACTGTGTGCTATAGAAACAGATATGTACATTTCCACTGCATCCTCACTCCTAGGCATATTAATTTGATTTTTTAAAGTTTACACTTGTGGCCCTCCCTGGTGGCGCAGCGGGTTAAAGCACAGCACTGAGAGGCTAAGGCCACTTCTGCATGAGTTCGATTCCCGCCTGCCCCGGAGGTGACCACATGGCGTGGCAGACCTCTCCTGACCCGCCCGCTGCTCCCCTCAGCAGTGTACTTCGTCGATCTGCCTGTTCTATTCCCCACTCTGTCTCTGGTAAAGCCTCCCGCCGCCCCTGGGCCTCTGGCCTGTACCCCAGTTCTGTATGTACAAATAAATAAATCTTAAAAAAAAAAAAAGTTTACACTTGCTGAGTGCATATAGTTTAACTTGTGTGAAATAATTTCTGTATAGTCCCACGTTGACATTAAAAAGGAAGAAATGAAGAGTAAACAATGTACTCATATTTACACAATGAAGTGGCAGTTCTGGGACTAGAGCTTACATTCGCTAATTGTTAACCCAGGGCTTTTTCCAGCTTCTCTTGCACTCTGTTGCATGCAGCTCCAGTCGTGCCCAGTACTTAGAACTGTT